CCAGTGGAGCAGAGAGTAATTTGATTCTTCCGTTGTTGGAGATTCCCAGAAATGTAACAGTTCACGATAGCTGTTGGCAACCCAAATAATTTCCTCCAATTTAAATAATTAAATTAATTTCTCTAATTCATGCTGGACCAGCCTGTACTTGAGAAGCAGCAAGGACAGCTTTGCAGGTCACACCACCTGTAGTGACCGTCCCTTTTTAACAGCCACAGTTATGGAATAGTCATGTCCATGAAAAACAATGATGAACTGAGGATGATCAAGGGAGTTGCTTTGAATTTGCCTCCTAAAGAGCTGCTCCAGCTGCTCCCCAAGCAAGGGCTCCTCCTCAGCCTCTGCAGCCACCACTGCATGGATCCCCTCTCAGTACGACACCGAAAAAGCCAACTACATACCAAGGGTGCAGAGCCAGAAAGGGGCTTTGCATGCTCAGCTTCATAGATATAATAATCCAGGGGCAAGAAGAAGTAGCCTGGAGCTGGCTGGTTGCACTGGCGGCTCACGACGTTGGGCAGACACTTGCACTGACCATCCTTTGGTGAGCACCTAGGGTAAGAGTTGGCAAAGGGAGGACACCAGAGTGTGGCACAGCTGGGTCCTCACAGCACGAGGGCAGCTCAGATCCACCTGTTTCAGCTTTGTTTCGTTTCCTTCCCTATTAACTTCTTCCTGCCACTCTCTGCCTCTGTTTCCTATCCTGGACTTATTCAATGCTCCTTTTCCATTGCTTAGGAGACATGACATGCTTTGCCTTTCTCTGTCTGTTCCATACCAGAAGCACTGACCCTTTTGCTTCCTGAGCATCTCTGACTATCTATTCCTGCATCCATTTCTGTTATCTCTTTCTATATCTATCACTATTCCGTGATTCCTAATCATATAACACCCACAATTCTGGAGGCAGGATATGAGACCAGAAGGATCTTTGATTTGATGTGATATGGCAGTTTTCATATACTTACACTCATATTTAACACATCAGGTGATATACCTGCTCACAAGGAGCTGTTCTACAGCATCAGACTATGTGCTCCTATGTCTAAAGTCTAACAGCACTAGTGAAGAACTCTGCCCAACAGGCTTCTGGAGGAGCCCAACTGAAACCAAGCTTGCTTCTAAAATAGCACATTCTGAATAGGAGCCAGAAAAAAATCGGATATTTCTAGCATTTAAAGTTCCTAATTAATTCCTAGCATAGGAAGCTAAGTCAAAAATGTCACCTCTAACTTCTAATTTCTATTAATATTAAGACCTCTGGTTCTCTCAAACCATGAGTTTATACTTTATATTAAACACATCTGGGCTTAAGCCGATTCAAAGTTGCTTCAAAGGAATTAGGTAAATCCCCTTATCACAAGTAAATTTCCAAGATCCCAACAGGATTTTACACTGTTTGTATATGATGAAATTACATCTACAGTCTATTTTCCCATCTGTACTGAGACTGTATTAACCTAATCAGGAAATCTAGCCTAAGAGCTTATAAAAATTAAAACCAAGAAAGAACTTGAAGAACTTTAACTTACAAGTTATTCTGGGATCCACCAATATCACAGTCACATGGAGAACAGCCGTACAAGCTGTTGCCAAGACCCCAGTATCCTACCTGGGACAAAAATAAAGATTTTTTTAATGACAAATATTTATGTAAAGCAAAACAGAACACATTCTGCTGGATGAACCACGCTCTGGAGCACTGCTGTACTACTGCCTGTGCTTGGCCATGGGAGATTGCTTCTCCTACCAGATAGCATGGGTGCTCAGCCACTGCAAGAGCCAGATCTTTACCCATCTGTGCAAGCAAATTGCTCTGCAAACAGTAAAGATGACCTGAGGAAATGATTTTGCATTTCCTTTCCTTCCTGGGAGTGCTCCTCCCACTGCAATTCAATTGCACAAATGTTGGCGAGCAGTAAAAAAGAACCAGATGTGTCAATGCAAAATGGGA